AATTTGGAGGTCCCACAATAACCGTCACATGGTTGGATTTTGCCGATTCGTCAAAGTCCAAGAGGATTTTGTTCTTCCTGGCCAAGTCCATCAGCAATTCCTTTAATACGAAGCATTTTTTAGTAGGATGACTAACTATCCGATGATAATGGCAATACTTCGGATCCTTCACACGACCTATTTCTTTAGGATGTTTGCACTCAGGGAGTTGAATGACTTTCTTTTCAAGTAAATCTTCTAACATACCTGGTACGTTAGAGTCAAGAAAGAGATACTTCTTTTCTTGTAGTTCTTTCAGAGATGGGCATGTTTCCTTCCTTTCTTCTTTCTTCTTGTCTTTCGTTGAAATATTGATTGGAGCTGTGGTTACCGCCATTGCTTTTTTGGTGGTACCTTTCAAAGGCTTGCCTCCTTTTTTTAGTTCTTTGTTATCTTTCCTTTGTTCAAGAATGGAAAGGTCTTTCCCGCCATGGTTGGCTATGCTAATTTCCATGTCATGTGAATGCGTAGCTAACTCTTTAAATGTTCGTCGTTTTATCCCTTAAACTATGTAAAGGAGTCCCCAGTGCATGCCTTGCATGCACATCTCCATAGCTGAGATCTCAGAGAGTTGGTCTTTTCAATCTAGACTTAGAGCACGCCAATGGTTGATGTAGTCTACCACAGGCTCGTCCTTTAATTGCTTGGTACTGGTTAATTCCATCATGCTTACCATACGATGGGTGCTATAGAAATGATTAAGGAATTCACGTTCCATTTGCTCCTAATTGTCGATTGAATAGGCCTCTAAATCGGTGTACCAATCAAAGGCATTTCCTTTGAGTGATCGAACAAATTGTTTGACAAGTAGATCTCCGTTTGTCCCGGCGTTGTTGCAAGTTACAACAAAGTGAGCGACATGTTGTTTAGGATTACCTTTTCCATTGAACTGTTGGAACTTAGGAGGTTCGTATCCATTAGGCATTCTAAGAATGTCTATCCTCTTTGTGTAAGGCTTGGAGTACATGAAAGTGCTTTGCGAAGGCTCACCGTATTGTGCTCGGATGGTATTTGCAATCATGTCTTGGAGTTGTTGAACAGACAAAAAAGCAATGGATATTGGTTGGCTACTTGTGCCAATCACTTGCCTCGCAACAGATGTATGGCAAGTTTCCTCACCAACAACTTGCTTGGACTTAGATGTAGGGTTCACCTTCTCAACAAACGTGCCTTGTGGTGTAAAGCTAGGTGGATGAGAATTGTCTTGACTTGCCTCATCAGCATTTCATGCTTCTAACTTGTTCATCAAAGTGGCAACCTGAAGATCTTTCTTTTCCACAGTTTTGGTGAGCTTGTCAATGGCACAAGCCATGGTCGCCAATTGTTAGTGGTCATGACTTGCATAGACACCGAGCGAGACAAATTTAAGTGATTCGACGAAATTGAACGTTGAGGACTACTAGGAGATGATCCTGAGTGTGAGCCTGCACTTGAGTTTGCATCAAAAGCTACGGGTGTTGGGTGTGGGGAGAAACCTTCTGGCAAAGAATCCTTTGAGACAGAAGTGGACTTCTTCCATTTCCTTACTTCCTTTTGCTTAACCCCAGACATGGACACCGTGATAGATTTGTGAGACTTTCCTTATGCTTGCTTTGTTGCATTGGCGGTCGGCATGACCCCGTGAGTGGTGAGAGCAATGGTAGCCTTGGTTTTGCTACAATTGATCGGGCCCGTAGAAGTGCTATTGTTTCTAGTCGTGACAGCAGCATTTTTGCAAGCATTCTTATTAATTAGAGCAATTTGAACTTTCTTTGAACCATTATGCTTGATCAAACAAGGCTCCGGAAAGATGCTTTAGGAGAAAGAGATGAGAGGCAGAGAGGTCCCATTGGGCATGCCAAAATTTGTAAACATAAATTTCGTATCCTGCAATTAAGACACAGAATAAATGCATAAATAATTAACTTTATTTGATTATAATAAAGGGGCACAATTCCTTGTGATTTGCTCTATTACAAAAGAACAAATCCTCTGATTCGATCTCTGAAATAGGCATATTCAACGACTGCAAAAGTTTGTTGTTGAACTATACAAGTTGATGAATTTCTTCAAGTCTTCAAATAGAGAAACTTGGAGAAGAAAGGCTTGATCGGGCTTGAACAGTTTGATCTCGAACGCGTCTTGAAATGATCTCTTTGAAAAGAGAGGCCAAATTTGTATTTGTAAGTTGAAAAGATTGGTACAAGTTTAGAGTGCTTGATAATCCTTTCTCTTAAGTTTGAGGAACTTTAGAGAGAATTTTAAGAAGAGAATTTGGCAGAGGATCGAGATTATTTAGAAGCTTGCAAGACCATTAGCCAAAAAATGTGTGTCTCCATCCTCATGGTGAGGATGATCAATTTTGGAAAACTCCAAAATTGATTTTAATTTCCAAGAAAATAGTAATTTATTTCTTATTTTATGGACATGATTTACATTCAAATTTAAATTTGAATTATTCCACTAAATTTTGATAAAATATTTTCATGGACCCCATACATTTGCGTTGACCCAATTGTCAAAGTAGGTTCACTTGGGTTAAGATCCATAATTTTTTGAGTAGGACCCATATCCATTTGAAAATTTTGACCAACTTAATTTTGATTAATCGAGAAAATTTATTTGTCTTGATTAATCAGACGGTGATCAAGACACGTAAAAATTTAAGTGCCTACAGTAACACTCTAATGTAACACAAAAAAAATTCATTTGTGTACTTTTTCCGAACGTAACACTCCAATATAACACTCTAAAAATTTTTTTTAGTATAACACTCCAATGTAACACACGAAAAAACTCCTTAATATATTTTTCCCTAATGTAACACTTAATGTAACACTAAAAAAATGATGTTGGATTCTTCAAACCATTCTAAAAGGATTTGGGATTCTTCAAACCATTTCAAAAGGAGTACCAAAATTTTTTAGTAAACTTTGGACAAATGTATAATTTCAAACTGTGAGTGTTACGTTTGAAAAAAGTACACCAAAGAGTTTTTTAGTATTTTTGTGTGTTACATTGGAGTATTACGTTTTGGGATTACATTGATTGGAGTATTACGTTTGGGGGGAGAAATACACTAGAATATTTTTTTGTTGAGTGTTACGTTGTTATGCTTAGAAAAAATACTTTAAGTAGTTTTTTAATGTGATACATAAGAGTGTTATGTTATTTGAGCGTTACATTCTTATTCGTAATCTGGGATTTGTCCCAAAAAGAGAGAAAATCCAACACCTTTATAATGTAGATTGCCTAAATATAAAATTTCATATTTGGAGAAATCCACTTTTATCTCTCAGAAATTAAACTCAAACGTATAAGTGACTATTTTTTTGTGTAATTCTTTTGTGTAATTTTCACTTTAATAGAATCTTTGGATTCATAAGAAAAATGAATGACTAAAAAGTTCATAAAATCATACTTTAAAATTTATTAGTACTTCACCCTTAGTTAAACACTTAATTATTTTTTCTTTTTCCAATCTTAATTTTTTAATTCTTTATTTTTTCTCAATCAGTAATACCACTTTGACCTAACTATCGCACCACTCTCTCTTGCTCTTGATTAGCACCACTATTATTATTATGAACCGTGATTGAGGCCTCGAAATCCTGCCTCGAAATTGCCTCGAATGCAATTTTTTTTTTTTTTTTTTTTGTTTGTTTTTTCTGGGCTAAATCATTACAGAAAAAAATAAATAAAAATAATAATAATAATAATAAGCAAAGCATCAACCCAGCAAAAAAAAAAAAAGAAAAAAATTCATTTGTGTACTTTTTCCGAACGTAACACTCCAATATAACACTCTAAAAATTTTTTTTAGTATAACACTCCAATGTAACACACGAAAAAACTCCTTAATATATTTTTCCCTAATGTAACACTTAATGAACACTAAAAAAAATGATGTTGGATTCTTCAAACCATTCTAAAAGGATTTGGGATTCTTCAAACCATTTCAAAAGGAGTACAAAAATTTTTTAGTAAACTTTGGACAAATGTATAATTTTAAACTGTGAGTGTTACGTTTGAGAAAAATACACCAAAGAGTTTTTTAGTATTTTTGTGTGTTACATTGGAGTATTACGTTTTGAGATTACATTGATTGGAGTATTACGTTTGGGAGGGGAAAAATACACTAGAATATTTTTTTTGTTGAGTGTTACGTTGTTATGTTTGGAAAAAATACATTAAGAAGTTTTTTAATGTGTTACATTAGAGTGTTATGTTATTTGAGCGTTACGTTCTTATTCGTAATGTGGGATTTGTCCCAAAAAGAGAGAAAATCCAAAACCTTTATAATGTAGATTGCCTAAATATAAAATTTCACATTTAGAGAAATTCACTTTTATTTCTCAAAAATTAAACTCAAACGTATAAGTGATTATCTTTTTGTGTAATTCTTTTGTGTAATTTTCACTTTAACAGAATCTTTAGATTCATAAGAAAAAAAAAATGACTAAAAAGTTCACAAAATCATACTTTAAAATTTATTAGTACTTCACCCTTCGTTAAACACTTAATTGTTTTTTTCTTTTTCCAATCTTAATTTTTTAATTCTTTATTTTCTCTCAATTAATAATACCACTTTGCCTAACTAGCGCACCACTCTCTCTTGCTCTTGATTAGCACCACTATTATTATTATTTACAAGTATATAATGTGTTGCCCATGAGAGCTGCAAAATATCATAGAAATGAATTTGGTAGTCGGTGATAATAAGAATAATATGATAATTTTATGTTGATATTAGATTTTATTTAGATAATTTTATATAAGAAAATATTTATAATTTTTATTTTTGACAGACTTAAGGAGATATATTTGTAAATTACTTTGTAATTAGCATAAATAAATAAATATTGGGGGTGGGGGCGGGCATGAAATCAAAGAAACACCTAAAATTATAAAATCTAATTCAATCCAGATCTAGGGTTTCCTTCCTTCAAATTACCATCTCATCATTTCTTTCTTCTCTAATTCTTTTCTTACACATACATATATATATATATATATATATATACTACCAAGAAAATGCCGGTGAAATCTTCTCAGTCGTCGTATCGAGATCGCACCCAAGAGTTTTTTAATGTAGCTGAGAAGCTACGCAAATCGTTCTCTTCATCAGCGCCACATGCCCCGACTAGTAGTACTAGTTCCACCACCATTGGTTCCAAGGATGAGGCACCCAGATCGGCCATCTCGATTCAGTCCGAATTCAGCAAGAGGGCTTCCAAGATCGGCTTCGGGATTCACCAGACTTCGCAGAAACTCGCAAAGCTCGCTAAAAGTAAGTCATTTTATTTGTGAATTTGTTAATTCTGTTGTTTATCTGTTAATGTATGTTAATTTGGTTTTTAAATTGTGGATTTGTTGGAAAATGGAGGAAATTGAATGTTCTTGATTAATTTTGTCGTTACATTGTGGAATTTGATGTAGATTATTATCGTATGCATTTCAATTAACAGTCTTTTTTCTTCGTAGAAAAGTTGTGATGAACAATATATTGAATGAATTGCAAGTTTAATTGTCTTCATTTACTTTTCTGAGGGTTTGTGGGTGGCAATGGGGTTTCAACTTTCTGTTTTCTTCTAGCTGCATTTGGCTTCATTTGATGTTGTTGAGGAACTTTACATATTTAAGTTGAAAAGTAATATGGGATTGAACTTTACAATTTGGTAACTCTTATTTGTTTTGAAAACAAACAATTGAAGCCTATAGTGTTTTTGAGAACTAGAGAAGTAGTATTTTTAGAGACACTTCTATCAATTCTCTTTGAAAATTTGTTTATACCTTGTACCTTGTTGTATGACTTGTATTTCTTCTTAGTTGATTAATGATGGACTTTTAGTATTTTTTTTCCTTGATGCCTAATTGCAATGGTTATGTTTTTTATGGGAAACTTTGGATTTTGAACTGTGAACTCAAGGGGTTTTAAGTTTATCTGGCACCATGATTGAGAGTATTTAAAAAACTAAAATAAAAGTTGTATGGCACCACTATGATGATAGGGCCATAAATCCATGGGAAGAATGGAGCTGGGAATATATATATTCCTTGAGGTTGTTTAGGTTGGAGATATTCTTGTCATTCCTGAAAGTGACAATAAAGTGTTAATATTTTGGGAGGGAGACGGTACTAATGTTTAGCTTGCTTAATTCTGCAAAAGATTATGTTTGTTTCAATGTGACGCTTCTATGGAAGAGCTTTGCCAATAAGTAAATAGATTTGAAGTGTAGAGAATAATTTTAAGTTTTTAAGAAGTTCATTGAATAAACCTAAGAGGTAATCCCCAAGTCTAATTTGAGATATTTTTCTAGGTGAATGGAGCATAAGTTTGGAGGCCGTTCCAGCACAGAACTAGTTCTTTGAAACAAATAATTTGAGTATGCCCTGATTGGGAGGTTGGCAGATATGTAAAGGAGTACAGCAATCATGTGCATGAACATAGAGCATAAGTAAGCTGGCAGAGGTGGTTTACAATTATGACATTCTTTATTCTGCTGCACCTGGGGAGCTTGTTAATTCACAATAAATAGTTCTTTGTATGTTGACAATAGTTTGAAAATTGAAACAAAACAATGTCACTGAGGATAAAAATTCTCTTGACAAGGGCTTCTTTATATTCAAATTAAAAATGAAGAAGATATGGGGAAAATTCTTGAAATTGGGCCATTTTATTTTGGAAGTAGACTAATTTTAGGGAGAAGATAGCAGTTGTACATGCATTTGACTAAGAGTGAATTCCCTTTTGTGCTCATTCCGATGAAATTCTATAATATTCCCCTAGAGCTTTGGACAAATGATGGGCTGAGTTATGTGGCTAGTGTTATTGGTCAACCTTTGTACCTTGATGAGTATGCTGAAGTTCATAGTAGGCTTATTTTTGCAAAATTGCATTGATTTTTATTTTTTATTTTTATGAGGGTGTTTGGGGCTAATTCCCCAAAACATCTAGTCCCCCTCCCCCATCTCACATATACTGGATAAGTAGTGGGCCTAAGCACCTAAGGGTGGCCTCAAGGGTGTGTTGAAGTTAATGCTACTTCAGAAATACCAAAGTTTTTCATGTAGAATTTAGGCTATGGTAACCCGTATGAGATATGTGTGGAGATGCCATGGAAATCTCAAAAATGTGATGAATGTAAGGCCATTGGTCTTGCCACAATTTTTTGTCCTCACAAACTTAGGTCATTAGCTTCTCTACTTCTTTGCGTAAATATGAATGGAGATTTAAGGAGGGAAAAAAGGATTTTAATTGGGAAGAGGTGAAGAGGAGATGTAAGGATGTGGCACAATGCTCATCGAAAAGAGTAGTTTCTACTCCCTCCTTTTGCAGCCTTATCAAATATATTTGATGTGTTTTCATCTTGTGATCTGAAAAGGTAGAGCTCAAGGGAGGGGGGATGAATTGGTATCCCCTTGTGAGGCCAGCCCGATCAGCTCTTGAGGTGGTGGATATTGTGGATAATTAACTAAAGACAAAGTTGGGGCTTAAAGAAATATGGTAATTCCTCCTAGAGATTCGATTCAAAAAAGGCTTAAAAGATTTTATAGTCTAAATCTTGCTATGGAATAAAGCTTGAATTTTTTACGGTAAGCAAAAGAAGTCGGGCTTCAAGCTTTCCAACTCAATCTTGAAGAACCCCAAGAGCAAGGAGGTGTGGGATAAAAGTCTTTTGTGCCTAGCCTCTCCCCTCTCAGGGGGTGAGTATTTTCCATCCTTGGGTGTGAGTAGTGCCTTTTTTTTTTTTTTTTTTTTTTTTTTTTTTTTTTTTTTGGTTGTTGTTGTTGTGTGTGTTAATCTTATGTGATGATTGTTGTATGGTTTTAGCCTTGACTCTCAGGCTGTGAGACTTCTTTTGTTTGCAGTCTATGTCAATTGTGGGCCTCTTTCTTTGTCTTGCTTTGTTTCATTTGTTAGACCCTTCGGGTCGTGTCTTGAATTTTGTTGTATATTCTCCTTTTTTGGTAATAAAGTGCCTACTTACCAAAATTTAAAAAAAAAAAAGAAAAAGAAGAGGGAGAGAGAACTAAAATAGCTTCCCTAGCTTTGTTATTTCCAATTGTGAGAATCACTTGGTATTGTACTTTAGAGACATTGCATAAGCACTGGAGAAAAGAATGAGGTCAATCATTATTGAAATTTTAAAGAGTCCCTCGTGTTTTTTTGCTGACACATCTTTGTTGACAGTATAATTCCACTCTTCCTCAATTTTTTTCAGGGCAAATTATTAGAAATGAACTCATTTGAATCTAAGAATGTAGTTATGAAATATTTTCTCTGCATACCTTCAGTGGCAAAGAGGACGTCAGTTTTTGATGATCCAACAATGGAGATCCAAGAATTGACAGCGGTTGTCAAGCAGGATATCACTGCACTGAATTCAGCTGTTGTGGATCTCCAACTCCTCTGCAACTCCCAAAATGAAAGTGGAAATATATCAAGTGACACCACCACCCATTCAGCCACTGTTGTTGATAACCTAAAGAATCGCTTAATGAGCGCCACAAAAGAGTTCAAGGAAGTCCTCACTATGCGTACAGAGGTATATAAATTGTTTGGCATAGCTACAAAGTGGTGGTTTGATATTGTAATCTCTTTCTTGATTAGAAGTGCTTTCGCTCCCTTTATCTGTAATATTTGAGTCTTTGACAAACATCTTTGAGTTTTTTGGGTGCAGAACTTGAAGGTTCATGAGAACAGAAGGCAATTGTTTTCTTCCACTGCTTCAAAAGATTCTACTAATCCTTTTGTTCGCCAGCGTCCATTGGCTGCCAGAGCAGCAGCTAGTGCATCAGCATCTCCTCCTCCTCCATGGGCCGATGGCTCAGCATCTTCATCCCAGTTATTTCCTAGGTAAATGTAAAATCATTTTGACTATGTGCGTTTCTTAATGACAAAAAAATTATCATTATTTGGCTCTCTCTCTCGATGTGTGTGTCGGCAAACATTAGCACTCTTTGCTTTCTTTTTCTGAAGCTGTTATTTATTTATTTATTTATTATTATTATTTATAAACAGCATTTTTTTATCAGTAAAATTTTTGTTTATAAACCTCTTATACTTTTGACAATTTGAGATTGATAAATAATGCTTACGATTCTTTTAAAAGGAGAAAACTTATCAATGGTTCTAAGGTAGCAAAATTCTTTGTCAGGTAAGTTCCTACCCGCATGAAAGGCGTAACAATTTGGGCACTCTCAGAGAGAGGCTCTTAAGAATTCTTAATTGGCTAGTTGTAAATAGCCCCAAGCTAAGCGAGGGGGTGAGGAATGGGAGGTTTTTATAAATAGACTGCACTCAATTCATTTTGAATTCACTCATCCAAATTTTTGCCACACTTTGCCTGGTGAGAAACCATGTGTACCTTTTACAAAAAATGGTCATCTTTTGGTCACGCAATTTCGTCAATTCTTTTCCATTCCAATCAGTTGAAGGTTGTACTTGGCAACATTTGGAATTCCATGCTCAATATTATCACTCATGGATGCTGCTAATGCATTTGTTTTTTAATCACATATTATAGGAAAATGGTCCACAATGACGACGTGCTTCCCATACGTTTTTTGCTTGCTAATTGTAGGAATTGTCTAATGTACAATACGGTTTGGTATCACTTTTAATTTGAGCAGTTGCATCTCGAAGAATCACTTGCTTTCTGGTTGAAGTCTAGAAAAATGTTTCTTAAAGATTAAATTTAGTACGTCACATTCACATGCATAAAGTTTGATGTCGGCTTTTTTTTTTTTTTTTTTTGAGTAATCAGATAAGAGAGAGAGAGAGAGAGAGAGAGAGAGAGAGAGAGATTGATCAAAGCACTAGCTGTGGGCTTTTTTTTTTTTTTTTTTTTTTTTTCTGTAGATCCTGAAAAACACCACAACAATTTAATTCTGTTGTTGTTGTTGCCCATGTATAAACTTGCCACATGTTTCAACTTCAATTTTCGTTGGGGATAAAATAATTTTCTTTACTGAGATTGTGTTGCTTGTTTTCCTTTTATAGGAAGCAGGCAGATCGAGAATCTCAGCCACTTCTGCAACAACAGCAACATCAACAGCAACAGCAGATGGTTCCTTTACAAGACAGTTATATGCAGAGCCGAGCTGAAGCTCTCCACAATGTGGAATCAACTATTCACGAGTTGGGCAACATCTTCACTCAATTGGCAACCATGGTTTCTCAGCAAGGAGAGCTTGCAATCAGGTTGGTTCATGGATTGCTCACACGTGCATGTGTTGTCAACAGCACAACAATGACGACACTTTCTCATGATCAGTCAGGCATTTAGGTTATCACTAAGAGTTTAGCAAATAGCACCCTCCATAGGTAGATTAGCTTTCTATAGTCATGTGTTTGTGTGCAGTGGTTAATTGCTTCCATTTTAGGGAAAGCAAATTTCCTTAATTTGCCTGTGCTTTTCTGTGTGATGTTAGTCAGCACCCTTCAGTAATCCATATTGTCTAGGCGCCATGGGCTTAGTGATTACCACAGGAATTTATCAGGAATGCTTTGACCTGTGACTTGAGTGGCAGAAAATATTATTGGGACCCATGGCCCCACCTTGATGATTTATCTATTCATTTTTTAGGCCTCTATGCATAGATCATCCATAACAAAAATCAGATTGATTTAATAATTGTAGTCACATAATTCATTAGATTTTGTCTTAAAAAAATGAATTTTCTATTTACAAAATCATACTACTTGTTTAGTTTTTTGAAGACAAATATGATGAATCATGTGACTATGATTATCACATCTATAAGATGAACGGATGTGTGGCTCATGGTGGGCTCACAGGTCCGGACTGAACCAGTCCAGTCCACACTGTGGACTTGAGACAAGCCTAACTAGTCTTAAACTCCTATAAAGATGGACTGAATGTTCACTGGATACTATTGTGGCTGGCAGGATTGATGAAAACATGGATGATACACTTGCAAATGTGGAGGGGGCACAGGGGCAGCTAGTCAGGTACCTGAACAGCATATCATCGAATCGATGGCTGATGATCAAGATATTTTTTGTATTGATTGTATTCCTTATGATTTTCCTATTTTTTGTGGCATAATAGTTTTTTAGTAGAATCATTAAATAAAGAAAAGGGAAGAAGAGCTCTATCTTTTCCTTCTTACTATTGGGGAGCCTCTGCTTGTTTTTCTTCTTCTTAGGAAGTTCAAAAATCTGAACATGCTGCAAATTTGGCATACCAAAAAGCCTTTAACTGGGGGTAAGTTTTGACATCACTATGTTCCTAATTGAACACTGCTATCCACAAACCGAAACTGAAATGAGCTGTTGCATCTTCTTCTTTGTTGCAATTCTTAAGGTTATGTTTGGTTGGGGGATTTGGAAAGAGAAAGAAAAGGTGTATGAAACTAAGTGAAATGTGAGTATATTTTATTCACATTTTACTTACTATTTTTCGTTCCCTTTCCAAATTCCCAAACCAAACATAGCCTAAAGGGTAATACATACTAACATGGTTGAAATATGAAACAAGGGTAGCCGTGTGTGTGCATATTGATTGTGTTTGTTTGGGAGGTTAGGCCATGCTATATATGGTAATCAATACCAAATTTCATGTTTTGATACAAAAGTAGACCTTTGGATTGACAGTGCTTTCGGATTATATATCCCCATATGGGAGACTAAAGGATGTGGAACACAAAATGGGAAGGATTAAGAGAGTCTCGATTAGAGTATTAAGAGACTAAAATATCCTAAAACTATGCTCATTACTTCATATATTCCATGTCTAACGATTTTGGTTGTCTACATGCGCTGAAAACCTTACTAAATTACATTTGTCCAACCATGGATGTGCAAGTATCATCGTATTTTGTACAACTATCCATATTTAGTTTCTTATACTTTTTAGTAAGAGTGTTGGTGGGTATATAATTATTCTTAAAAGTTTAAAGGAAAGGATAGGGTAGAAGTTTACTAATTCTCCTTTTAATCTATAAGCATTTCAAATGTGGGATGAGATTAGGAGCGCAACTTAGGCAGGTTCAACCTGGACAATCCAACCTATTTTTGAATTCGGTTTGGACTTTAACAAAAATTCAGAACGCTAATTAAATTTAGGTGGGTTGGGCAAAGATATCAAACAATCTAAGCAAGCAACCTAGAATTCGAAATATACATATAAATTATGAGTTAATATATGATATTAAAGTAATTTAAATTATTAAATCATACTGAATATATATACACAAGTAATATAAAATCTTATATTTTTTATTCTCACTCATAAATTGTAAAGACTACCATAACGGTATCTAGGGGTCATCAATAGGACAAGTTAGGCTTATGCAACCCGCAACTATTGTGTCCAAATTTAATGGGTTTTTGGGTCTCTGATCAGACTAGTATGGGCTAGACTTATTCAAAAAATTAAAATCACATTCTATCCATAAGTCCAAATTTTACCGGTCAAAATCAAATTGAGTTGGGCTACGCATTTTTTATTACACATATATTATTAAGTTTTACACATTTTTCATTCACATATTTTTAATATTTTTATTAGTTTTTTTTTTTTTCTCTTTTTTTTACATAATTCAAGCATTTTGATTTGACGTGGCTAAGCCCATAAAGGCCCCATGAAGGCCATAGCCCACTATAAACAACTCAAGCCCATCACGTGGAGCCTAGTACATAACCCAGCTGGTAGAGTCCTGAACAGCTGGAATCCAACATGGCACAAAGAGCCAATGACATTTAGACATATGGAAAGCAAAGGACAAGTCACATCAGCAGACAAAGATCTGCAAAGTTATTGCCACTGCACATCACCATTAATGCAGCCCATCACAACATTTATTACGACAACACCTCTCCGGCGGAACAGCACCACCTTACCCTGAACAAGGTAAGCTACAGTATAGACTTTCGGCGATAAGGGCAGGTCGGAAGGGACAGCGAAATGATTACCAAAGGATATAAGCAAACGTTGAAGACAAGAAGAAGGTTAAGCTTTCTATCTCTAATCTCTCCCTGTATACTCTACTTCTCTTCTTAACTTGCTCGTCGGAGGGTTCACTGGGGGACTACCCCGTTCCCCGTTGAACTTGTTTGCAGGTTATCTGGTGGGCTTGATCATTTGGACGTGGGCCTGAGGAGTTTGGACCTGTACGATCCATTCACTGGAACAAACTGTATCATCAGTTGGCGTCGCCTGTGGGAACGCTTTGCTCCTCGCGCCAGTTGTGTTCACTGTCGCCGGAGACCCCGTTCCAACAACCTTTTCCTCCTACCCGTCAAAGTGTATGGTCACGACTAGATCCATGGCTTCTCACAATAATGCTACCGACCATCAGGCCGACCCCCCCCAATCCAAACAATCCACCGCAGTATTTTATCGAGCTTACCAACAGCATTAACCGCATGGCCGAGCAAAACCAGGCCCTGATAAATGCTTTACTCCAAAGAAACCTTCCGATGCCTCCTCCACCACCTCCAGATATTCCACCAAACGAAGAAAGAGCTTCGAGCCATACTGTTCCACAACCCCATCCACCCAACTTGGAAGGTTTGCAACCTCCTCCCCCACATATAAATCTACCACCTCCACCTCCACACTCGTCGGTCGTGGCACCAGCCCCTGAAGGGGAAGCCAGCAGCGTCCAGCCCCCATTGACTGACCATGGTGACCACGTTCCCCTCTGGGACGCTGAACTCCGAGCAATGAAGCTCCAACTCCAAGGGGTCATGCAGAACATTCAGCATAAACCCTTTACCATGGCAAATCCACCATTTATTGCCTCCATCCGGGACAAACCTCTGCCCGCCAAGTTCAAGATGCCCACCATTGACTCTTTTGACGACGGACCCAGTCGACCATCTGGAGACCTACCATGCCCTCATGATCCTCCATGCCTTCCCTGACAAGATCATGTGTCGGGCTTTCCCCGTGACACTGAAGGGGTCAGCTCGACTGTGGTTCAGCCAGTTACCAGCAGATTCTGTCTCCACTTTCCAGCATTTCAGCGATTCCTTCCTTAGCCATTTCATTGGAGCCCAGCGCCAACGCCGCCCGGCAACCCAACTCCTCAATATCCGTCAAATCGAGGGGGAGTCGCTGCGCAGTTTCGTTACTCGCTTCAACACCGAAGCCCTGCAAGTAGCGGAAGACGATGACAAGGTCATCCTCACGACTTTCATGGCCGAGCTACGATTGTCCGATTTCCTCTTCTCCCTCTCCAAAAACCCCCCGACCTCCATTGCAGCCCTACTCTCCAAAGCCCAGAAATACATGAATGCTGAAGATTCACTAGCCGCCCGGCAGGATCCAATAGCTAAAAACCCGACCCCTAGAGAAAAGAGAAAAGACTTAGAACCCAGAAACACCCAGTATAATAGCCAAACACCCCACTATACAGACCGACCCCCCCGCACTGACCGGTCGGCACTAGCCCGACTGCCCGATCGGTTCGAGCAGTACACCCCCCTTAATTCTCCCATGGAACAAGTTCTCAACCAGATCCAACGGGACTACCCCCTCAAATGGCCCCTACCTTCACGGACCCCTTCCAATCGGAAAGATCAGTCCAAATATTGTCGTTTCCACCAGGACCATGGCCATAACACTGATGACTGCATCAACCTCAAGGATCAGGTCGAGACCCTAATACGTCAAGGGCGTCTCAGCCGGTTCACGGACACCCACCCACAGCAGAGGCAAAGAACCGAGCCCCTCAGAAACAACCGCCGGCGCACCCCACCCCGGCAGCCAGCACAACCTAACCAAGGCCATGATCACCCTCCATAACAGCCTCGGCCGCCAGGTAATCCCCCTCCGCCAGTCGGTGAAATTCGAGTCATTTCAGGTGGCCTTGCTTGTGGGGGACCATCCCGCTCGGCTCAGAGGGCAGAACTCAGAAAGATAAGGCAAGGCTCAGACAAAGCAGTTGCCACGGTAGACCGACCCTCCAAACAGCCCAAGCAGTGGACAGAGCCCATCACCTTCACGGACGCCGACTGTACAGGCATCCGTTATCCTCATGATGACCCTCTTGTCATTTCTGCCCTCCTCTCAAACTATAAGGTCAGACAGGTTCTCATCGACAACGGCAGTTCTTCAGACATCATATTCCTCAACTGCTTCTGCCAGCTCAAAATTGGGGAGGAAAGTCTGTCTCCCCTCCAAACCCCTTTGGTCGGTTTCACTAGCGATCGGGTGACCTCCATCGGCTCCATCGATCTCCCCATCACCATCGACGAATACCCACGGCAGACTACCAAGTTGCTCACTTTCCTTGTGGTCGACTGTCCCTCTGCCTACAACATCATCCTTGGTCGCACCGCCCTCAACGCTTTCCAAGCTATCACTTCAACCTACCACCTCGCCATAAAGTTCCCTACCGACCTGGGCGTCGAGACAATAAGGGGAGAGCAGACCATAGCCAGGGAATGTTATGTCGCCTCACTCAAGGAGGTCAAGCTGAAGGAGGCCATGATCTTTGAAGGACTTGACGTCCGAGATGAGGACGAGCTGGTCAGAGGAGAACCGGTAGAGGAGCTCATTGAGATTCCCATCGATCCCACCAACCCAATGAAAACTGCCAAGATCGGCAGCCAACTACCCCCCAAGCTAAGGCCGACCTTGCCGCCCTTCTGATCGAGCACAACGATGTATTTGCTTGGACCCATTCAGACATGCCGGGCATTGACCCCTCTTTCATAACTCACCGCCTCAGCATCGAACCCCATTTCTGACCTTACTGCCAGAAGCAGCGCATCTTTCATCCAGAGCGCAATACTCTTATAGCCGCCGAGGTTGACAAGCTCCTTGAGGCTCAATTTATCAAAAACGTAGATTACCCTAAATGGTTGTTAAACGTGGTCCTAGTCTGCAAGAACAATGGCAAATAGCAACTCTGTGTCGATTACTCTGACCTAAACCGAGCTTGCCCCAAAGACAGCTATCCTCTTTCCCGCATAGATCTGCTGGTCAACGCCACGGCCGGTCATTAAATGCTCAGCTTCATGGATGCTTTCTCTGGTTACAACCAAATCCTGATGCACCCGTCCGATCGGGAACATACATCATTCATTACCGATCGGGGTACCTACCACTACCGTGTGATGCCATTCGGATTGAAGAACGCTAGGGCTACCTACCAGCAGTTGGTCAATGCCGTCTTCCATCACCAGATAGGTCGGAATATGGAAGTATATGTCGACGACATGCTAGTCAAGAGCAAACTCTCCACTGATCATCCGACCGACCTGCG